CTACTCGCAAAACCAAACAAACTTCACCACTAAAACTAGTTTTTTGAAACTTTTAAAACTTTAATACAACAGTATAGAGTCTAAAATCGAAGGCCCCACTGTCGCCGGAATGTCATGTCATTTATTGCACGGGTGTCCCAGTTAGAACCAGGTATCGGTCCCCAAGAAAGATGACACTGCGTCAACAATTTGTCCCTCATACATTATACGCCTTACAAGACAAACAGCATATCTCACGAAACACATATTTATGTAATCCGTCCATCCGTTGAACTAATTCTGAACACATGTGCTTAAGTTTTTTGCACCATTAAATATAAAGTGTTATTTCATTGAGCGTGACTTTGGCTATTTTGTTTGTGTGAGGTTCATTTATTACACCACATTCACATGCGAGTGTAACCTTAAAGTGTTAAATCTTCTCATAAAACGCTAAAATGTTTTATATAGTTATCGTATCTCTGCTTTTAGAGCCTCTTACCTATACCAGCTGTGATGACATATGATTAGTTTATAACTTATACGTTTTATTATTTCGATATAAGTTTTCCTTTATGTGCAGTCATGCTCATGGGCTAGAATTAATCCTTTTAATTAGGGTAGTATGGTTTTCCTTATTTTAAATGCTAACATATCATCATTATAATTATGTCAAAATTCAGTAAAGAACAGTAATTTCTTCAAAGGAGAAATAGGTGATTTCAAAAATATGCTTCAATTTTGCACTTATTGCGTGCACTCGTTAAAACTTGCAAGTAATAATGTCTCGCGCTTCATATTGCAAAGGGGTCCAAAATTGAACACGTGTTCATTCGAAAAATCATGATTACCTCCTAAGGGAGCCAATCACTGCCATTAGAATTAGATATTCGAAATTCAAACGGCTATCAAATTACTTAGGGTGACATTTATGAACGTTGAAAATGTTCACTCAATACGTAATTATGCAATTACATTGATGCAATGTGATTTTTCTGTGTAAATTCAAGTAATTAAAGATCAAAGGGTTTTTAAAATGTTTGAAGATGATGTTTTCACTGACAGTTTTATTGCAGTATCGAAATCAAGAGGTGTCCTAGTTTATACGTTAAACCGAAAATCTATTGAACAGAATGAAATTTTATGTTGTAGAACTTTATTACTTTGGGCATGTCCACACGAGTGCTATCAATTTCAAACCGACAAAAAACATTAACGGATCAGTTCAAACGGACTTGCAACACTTCGGCCGCGTGTCAGTCGACTTGAATGCGAAACCCGTGTCTCTGTAACCGATTTTTTTTATTTATTTTTCTTTTTCGACGCGTGTCGACATGTGCCTGTAGTAAATTAGTAGGGGACACGAATCACCCTCGCAAACTTTTTATAACATAGATTTTTGAACAATAGAGCATAACTACATACTTGCATGCGAGTTTAAAAGTCACTCCTGTTTGGCGTTTGCATGTACGAGTCGTGGGTAGGCTCTCTAAATATACTTTATGTGTCTCTAATATTGCAACCAGGATGAATGTTCTCAATAAGTACATTATTCAGAATGGTTATAGCTACTTACAGTTTATAGTCGGTTAATACTAAGCTTGACTAACTACTAAGCTGTCCTACTTTCTTGGACAATTTTTTGAATTAAATAATATTTATTGATTCATTTATTTATCAACGTAATGAAACACATTTTGAAGTTTAATTTATTTTTCATCGTTCCATTTAACATAAATTTTATTAAGACCTTATGCATCTAAAATTATTTAATATTTTAAATTAGAAACTTTAATTGAATAGTTAGCCATCCCTCAAACGTTTCAGAAGATAGAGAAGGAAAATGTTTGTTTCAATTAGAGCCACCCAGTTCGGTAAACATTTTTACCCTACTGTCTTTGCCTAACAAGTACTTAGTTAGTTAGTTAAAATGCTGCTCTATTAATAGTTAATGTTAAAAAAAATTACACAATTAAGTTTCTTTTTTAAAATATATTTTATACTGGCCTAAAAAAAATATAGAAAGAATATAATAGGTATACAGCAGTCGCGAGATGAATGGTTATAGAGCAAAAAATACTGTCCATATAACGCCGGTGTGGCAGCTATAAATTAACTGTCACCATCGTAAAGAATACGCCGATATGATACAGTTTTCTACATAGATACGAAGTGTGGGCCATAAAGTTAGAGGTTTGCGAAGCAATGCTCTTTTGACAGCGATTTTTAAGACAAAAAGGGACTTACTTGTGTTTTTACCTTAAGTAAGTAAGTAGCATAAACTAGATAATTAATGATAAAATGTATTGTGGATATTTTGTAATGTCCCGCTGCACAGACTCCTCTCTCTGTCTGTGAAGGATATTTTTCCTTCCACCAGGCTAGGTGATCTTTCTTTCTTTTTCTTTTCAAAAAGACAACTCCGCATTAGGAATAAATCCTGTGTCGCGGGGGACTTTACAAACATACATGAAACGGACACAAAGAACACCCAGACTCAGAAAAACAATTTGTGGATCACACAAAGTGTCGTCCCATGTGGGGTTTGAACCCACAACACTCAGCGTAGTGGGAAGCGGCGTGGCGACCGCTTAAACCACTACGCCATCCGTGCAGTCGAATCATGCAGTGCAGTGATCATTAGTAAATAAGTAGCCGTGTCTTGGTTTAATAGTTAATGAAAGATGTTGTTTAAATATGTAAGTCTTTTCATATGTTGTTTAAGTATAGAATTGTTAAAATAAATATTATTCATAAATTTAGATTGGTGAGATAACGCTTAGCCTTCTTTTATTTTTGGAAATGGACTTTTACATTTTTTTAAAGTCCATAATCCAGTAATAAAATTGAATAATATATTTATTTGTACAAGTTTTACATAGTAAATATAATATATACATACATATTTTAAACATTGCACATTTAAAATACAAATTTAGAGGTACTATTATATTAATCACCTTAATGTGGACTTTGTATCAAAATAACCGCAATTTTCATGGCTCAACATTCTTAGACGCTCAGAGATAAAAATAAGATTTAGCAGATTGCGAGGCACATAAAATATTGTTTATGTTTATCTAGATATGTTACTTTATCGCACATAAAACTAACTTTATCGTACGTCTGTTTGTTAGAATTCTATCGATTATTAGACATTACACTTGATATATCCTTCCTTGAGTTTACAGCTTTACGGTATTAAGTTTTATTACTTGCCATATAAAACTATTTGTTTAATTAGAAAATTAATTCCTCAAATAGGCAATACATAAAAATTTGGTATATAGATATTTACTATAAAAATAATTCTCAGATATAAATTAAAGTTTGTTTTAGGTTAGAAGTAATATTATTATTATTATTATTTTTGCAGAATGATCACATGTATATAAGTTTTTACGAGTAGTGTTTAGTATGTATGTATACTACATACATACTAAACATACTACTACAACTACATAGGATACATTGTACATAATATGTACAAAATATATAAGTCAACAGTGACCCTTACAAGAACAGGACTTAGGATCGCATGGTATCTCGCGCCATCAATTTGATAAATGGTGGTTGCATATAAGCAAATAAATAACGTAACAATTTAAATGTATCAGCATGGATTGGACATAATCCTTAGTGCTGAGAGAACTATTACTGCTTTTTGTCATCACTGCTGCACTATTATCATTGTATAATTAGCTGAAATTAAACACAAAAACAGAATAGGAGTATACACAAGAATCGAAAGATAGCAAATCGAATGGAGATTCAATTATAGATTAGCCCTTGTATGCCACCGCATTCACAACGTTGGGACACGTGAATAAATAAACACAATTACTACACACAAAAGAATAATCCCTATTGATTTCGCTCACAAAATACAACATCGCCTATGAAATCGACTCGCATATCGATTATGAAGGTTCATTTTGCAAAAATCGAACACCGAATCGAATTTTTTTTCATCGATTTTTACGTCGTTACAATAGTGCCCTATAACAATAGACATACATCAATTCGAGTGTCAAAAACTAACATCTGCACGTTTCGTTGTAAACAGAGTAAAATAGTGGGGTAACCCAGCATCCTTGGGGGACCCTGTATCGGCAAGCCTATGTGTTTATAGCTCATTATTATTGTGCGACGCTTTATACTAACTGCAAATGACATACTCCACCTATTATTAAAGTAAACCTTAGCCTAGAAAGGTCTTTTGTTGAGTAAAATTTTAAAATAAGCGAGTATGCTGTGAGAAATTGCTGTGGGTGGGTCATATGTCGAACGCTGCCTTTCATTAAGCTTGGGCAACACTACTGCATAAACACTTGAATATGTAAGTGTTAACACTGTAATTTATATTGTTAGGGATGTTGGTGACGTTGAAGTGGCTTTCCTAATATAATACACCGAGACAAAAGAACGTAACTGAATCTGATCGAACTCATAAATCACCTGTTTTTTTAAGCATAATTAAGTTATCTTTACATAATTCTTTTTATATCATTGACCAGTATTGATTTAGTGAATTTTTTTGCTAGCGTTTTCGCATAATTATATTTTTTTTAACACATACATACGTAAACTAAAACTTTAGCTTTTTGCACTTCTACATTTAAAATTAAAAAATTCCAAACTTCTCATGTGCTTAAAAGGTAGTACAAAATAAAACGTATTTTTATGAAAATAAAAAAATGGAATAAATAAATCTTAATTTTTAAGTATAAAATCTAAATATCTGATGAAAAAAAGAAACTACAATATGTCTGATTTATGTATTATTAAACCTCTTCACCGTCAGCCAATCGCAGTCCATGAATGTGACAATTAAATGTTAAAGGAAATTGTCAATAGGTATTATATCAATTATAAATTCCTAACCCGTACACAAGCCAAACGAGATAGATCCTACGTGCAAAAAGTCCACTTATCAATATTCAATATTAACGGTACCACATTATTCAAGTTGGAAAATTGGAGCCCGATAATAAAGACATTAATCATCTATCATTCAACAGGTCCAGTAAAAGGCGGAATGAGCGATGACTACGTTAGCAGTGGAGAGGCGCCATATATCATTGAACAGCCTATTGACGTCACAGTCGCACGACACCAGCCTGCAACCCTTAACTGCAGAGCTGGCGGGTCCCCTCCTCCAACCATCAGATGGTATAAAGGAGGAGTTCTTGTCGTCTCAGATACACATAGAAGCCTTCTACCCGCGGGTGGGTTAATTTTTCTGAGAACTACTCATGGAAGAGCGCATTCAGATGCAGGTGTATACTGGTGTGAAGCAAATAATCCATATGGGACAGCTAGAAGCAGAAATGCAACCTTACATGTCGCTGGTAAGCTTTTAATATGCAGTTATTTCATTTTGTAAGTTGTTTTATGAAAAAAAAATCTTCTTGTCGAGTACCCGAAATGTAGGACTAGCCTACTTTTCAATATAACTGTATGTACCATTATAACTATACAATCAAATTACAGTAGGAAGTAAAAATAATCTCATAATGTAACTCAGTCACATCAAAAGTAAAATAAAGATAGCGTGTGTGTAGGTATAAGGTCTTTTTTATTTCAATCCATAGCTACATAACTTATTTCTTTTCACAGTCCTTCGCGAAGAGTTCAGATTAGAGCCAGTATCTACACAATCTGCGCAAGGAGAAACTGTGATACTAGAATGTTCGGCACCAAGAGGTTCTCCAGAACCAACTGTCTACTGGAAGAAAAATGGTCAAATTTTGCACTTTGATGGTGATTCTAGGTAAAGTATCAGTGTATAAAAACAAATTGTATTTTTACATTTTAATTTTCTCCAAGGCACGGTTGTCGTCAGTCTCACCCATTGGCACTACATAGTGAACCCGTACCGAATCGTAGTACTCAGTATAAATTAAAAAATGCGGTATCTAGTTAATCACGGAAAATTTCATAGTACTTTTATGTATATTCGAATATGCTATGTGAGCTCTTTATACGTTGACCTATTTCAAAAAGTTCACATATTAAGATGCCAACTTTTTTTTGCGGGCGCTAAAACGTTATAGTCTATGCTACACTACAATTCAAATAAAATATAGATATATATACGCACATTCATTCATATATGTGTGTTCACACACGAGAAAGCCTTCTTCTTGCAGTCTCATTTTTGTATGTGTAATTGAATAATGCTTCGTTCAGAAAATTTCATCGTTTACATAACCAAGTTTGCATTTAAAATAAGAGGTTGAGATATCCAGTAAAAGTTACGTCGTCTATGATAAAGTGTAGTTTGAAGCAAATTCGAGGATGTGCGCGAGTGCTCTTACGTACCCGAGTGGGATGGTGGAAACGTGATATTCTTGAATAGCTACTTGAACTGAGTCGTTTGATATTCGATATCTCGTACTTGGGCCATATAAATTCTACCTTGTACTTCTTAAGTAATGAAACTAGCTAATTTCTGCAGAACTAACTACTGAAGTGAAGTTTTTTTTTTTAAATAATAGGTTGATGAAATAATATGAACCATTATTTAAGAAACGAACGGTCTTTCTGTTTCTAACATCCATGCTATACTAGTACTATACTAATATTATAAATGCGAAACTGTGTCTGTCTGTTGCCTCTTTGCGTTTAAACCGCAGATAGAGTATAGAGATAGTCCAAGTCGCGGAAAAGGACATAGGGTAGTTTTTATCCCAGAAATCATACTTTATGGGGGTGAAAAGGGGGATGGAAGTTTGTATGGGGGATCAAGAACCTCCCTGAATCGGTTAGAACAAACCAAGAACCGATATACTTTGATTCTTGAGGAAAGACATATGCTACTTTGTACCGCAATAACCGACATGTACGCGGGTGGATCCGCGGGCAAAAATTAGTTAGATAAAGTTCGACTTAGTACTACAGATACATTAATAAATATACCAAACCATTTATAAAGGTATTATCGCACCAAATCTTTCCATTTCTATATTTTGTTCTACGAATAGCTCAGGGTAATAAATAGATACCTTTAGCTAATTCAGTTTTAGCTTTCTGTACAAAATATATTAATCAAGTATTCTTCTTCGTATTTTACAGTAAGTAATTTCATCATTGTTCTATTGTTGTAATTTATTAGAAATTCTTCGGCCAAAAATTATCCGATTGATACCAATCGGATAATTTTTGGCCGAAGATTGATTAGAGTGCAGTTATTTTTTTGTTAGATTTATATCTAAAAGTTATTAGTTTCTTTAGTAATGTAAGTAAATTTTTGATTAATAAATGATTTATTTTTCCCAAATATAATGAATTATTGCAACTACATCATCTTTGTCTTGGTCATTAATTGTTTTTAAATAATTAATTATGGACAATATAAAACTAGATTGTAGTTTCAAAATGATCAGTTGAGTAGTAAAGGTGTGCATCTTCACAAACAAATAAACAAACCCTAACACAGTTAGATATCTAATATCCAAAAGTAATTCACCGCTGCAGGCTTTATCGAATCCTGATGCGAATTCAATTTTACTCTAAACTTTTATTGCAAAATTTTCACTTAACTCTATGAATTTTTATGAGCGTTACATCTTGAGGGCGCGTTGTTACGTATGGTGGAGCATAAAAATAATTAACAGCCGTGCGCGCAAGGGTAGGTACATCAAAGTTATAAAAGAAGGGGATATTTGAAGAGCTCGACAAGCAATCAAGTAAAAATCTCAATAGTTCTGACTCACCGGACCCTTTATTAAATGTTAATTTCCCATTGAATAATTCCGCCCTACATTTGAATGACTTTGTTACTATGCTTTTTGTTCGAACAAATAAAGAGTTCATTATTCATATTGAAACAAATGTTTACTATAGACGATAATGTATATTGTTTATGACGACAGGATGCATATAGTCGACGGTGGAAATCTCGTAATACAAGACGCTAGGCAAGCCGATGACGGCAGATATCAATGTATTGCGAGGAATGCAGCGGGAACACGAGAATCTACTGTTGCTGTACTCAGAATACACAGTAAGTGGCACGTGAAATCAATTCACTACGTGCATATATAAAAAAAATCGTTTTAGTCATTTTGAAATGATTTCTTGTTAGTAATCAAACGACAAAGTTGTTCCGAGTAATTCACGAGACGTTTCTTGTTGTACAGTTAAGCCATATTTAATCACGGGGCCCGAGGACGTTGTGGCGCAGACTGGCGGTAGCGTTACATTCCAGTGTCGGGTGGGTGGAGATCCCCTCCCAGACGTGTTATGGCGAAGGACCGCTGGAGGAGGGAACATGCCACTTGGACGTGTCAAAGTTCAAGATGACCGAAGCCTTAGACTCGACAACGTTATTTTAGCGGATGAGGGTGAATACAGTTGTGAGGCTGATAATTCAGTTGGAGCTGTCAGCGCTAGTGGCTATTTGACCGTGTATGGTAAGTTTCAATTGTTATTTAACAAAATACGTAAAAATATTCGAAAATATACATTGTGTACATACCTAAATACTAAAATGTAAAAGGGAGTTCTTGGTACCTTTTATAGTGAATTTCGTACACGATAATAATGTTTAATCAACATTATGTTAAAAAATTAAAATAGACTTTGTGAACGGGTACAAAAAGCTACACAGTATGTATATATTATATTGATGTAAAAGTATATACGAGTATATATATGTATTGATCTGTTGATAAATAAATAAAATAAAACAAAGTGAATTACGGTTTGAGAACTTTGACTAAACTCATTTTTTCTTTGTTACTTTGGCTCTACCTTCTTTTATATGTACATAGAATAACTTAAATAACAAAAAAAATACTTGATTGTTTTTAGTGTTAGTTGGTATCTTCTGATGTCATATAATCAATCAACAATTAAATCAATATAATATAGTACATTACATTGAATGATATCAAATTGAAACTATACCTATAAAATACAATAGTCAAATAAAATCGAAAAACAATTATTAATTTATAGTTATATTCAGCAATTTTTTTTATATTTCTAAAAACTAGCATTCTCAGTGTTAATTCATCTGTCACCAAATACATAACAGGAATTCGTGTATTAAGTCGTTACATGAAATACTTTCGCGACAAGTAGTTATTCTTATTTCCTTAATTCTTTTTATTTTAGATCCGCCTTCGATTTCACTGAGACCAAATTCAATAAACGTTGAAAGTGGAACATCAGTGACATTCACTTGTACTGCCACGGGAAGACCAGAACCAACAATGTTCTGGAGTGTTGAAGGAAAGAGAACTATTATTTTACCTGGTACATCGAGAGATAAATACCACGCAACGACTGTACTGGATGGTGTCACTGTGCTAACAATCAATGATACAAATAAAAACGACAGTGGAAACACGATAGTTTGTTCGGCGGTAAACTTTGCTGGCAGTTCGTTTATCAGAGGGAAACTAACCGTGACGTCAGACGATGACCGCCCACCGCCAATCATAACAAACGGGCCCTCTAACCAAACGTTACCTATAAAATCGATGGCAGTTTTCCCCTGTACAGCCGTCGGTACACCTGAACCAATCATCGCTTGGTATTTTGAAGGGGAAGCATTAATACAAAATCATAGAAGGAATGTAACTAATGACGGAACTCTCATTTTGAAGGATTTAGATAAATCTGATAGCGGTACTTACACATGTGTGTCATCTTCGCATCATGGCAAATATGTATGGAGCGGGGTTTTGTTAGTAGATAGTCCTATAAATCCAAATATTCATTTTTTCCGAGCCGCAGATGTATCATCACTACCCGGTCCACCAACAAAACCGCTAATATATAATATAACAGATTCATCCGTTACAATAACCTGGAATCAAAACAATAAAATTGGGTCATCCTCAATATTAGGTTATCAAATTGAAGTATTTTCTAGAGAAACTCTATCAGGAAGTAATACTCCAAGGAATTCAAGAGGATGGATGGTATTAGCACGACGGGTTCATCATACACAATACGTAGCTAAATCATTAGTGCCTGGGGTGACGTATATGTTCATTGTACGAACGGAAAATTCCCATGGGCTATCCGGACCTAGTCCTGTTTCCGATTCAGTCACTATCGGTGATGATTCTAATTCATTATGGGAAACCGGTGTATTTTCAAACAATACCGAATTTAGAAATAACATTTTGACTGACAATATTGTAGAATTAATTGAAGCAACTCCGATAGACTCCAAAACAATAAAGCTCATGTGGGAAATATTAAATTTTTACTATTTGGAGGGTTTATTCATATATTTCAAACCCCTAGACAACATAACGACCGAATATGAAATGAAAACTATTTTGCATTCCAACGATGTCTCCGGATATGAAATAACGTCTTTGAGAAAATATACAAAATATGAATTTTTCCTCATACCTTTTTATAAGAAGTTCGAAGGAAAGCCGTCGAATTCTAGAATGGCTCAAACATTAGATGATGGTAAATACTTGATTCTCATTAATTCTATGAGCTGCCAATGTTGTCATTTTTTATAATTTATTTATTTTTTACAGTACCCGATGGACCACCAATTAACATAGAAATGTTCATCTTAAACACCACGACAGTTCATTTAAAATGGTCCCCTCCGGAGGCTCATTTACAAAATGGAATTATAACTGGCTACAATATACTGGTTAATTGGTTGGACATACCTGCAAACAAATCCATGGTAGCCATCAACACCACCGTTCACCAAACAACAAGTCTAATTATGACCAATTTAACATCTGGTGTAAGCTATTCTGTCCAAATTGCTGCCGAAACCATCGTTGGTTTTGGTCCGTTCACTCAAAAAGTCTATTTAAATATAGATTCACGGTCAGTTGGGCTAGATCCTTTATCGAGGTACATAATTTAAAAAAAACAAGTACGCCTATGAAATATGTATGATTGAGGAACATATGAAATGACGAATTCAATTAATTTCAGATATCCGATAAACGGAGAAGTGTCTATAGTAGCAGGGGACTTTGTTATGGAAACATGGTTTTACTTTTTGATAGGAGCGATTGTTCTGTTCAAAATAATTGTGATTGGCGGCATTATTTACGTACGAAAACATAATATTTTTGCAAAAAAATCTGCTCTTCCAAACATTTATGGTAAGTACCAGTGTATTCCAAAGTGCCACTCTTCACAACGATAATAATAAATGACTCTCGTATATCTTTGATTGCTTGGAACGTGCTCACATAAACAAAAGACGTTAACTCGTGAAGAAACAGTTATTCAGCTTATCGGCAACGGTTTTTTTTCCTGGAATCACCATCAGAATTTCGAAATTAAAAACATTCCTCGGGTGTCGTGGGGTGGTGCAGGGTGCCGAGCGTTTGTTTGATGGAGGCTTTGCCATGCGACGGTAAGGGAGGGGAGCTAGATTACTTTCGAGTTGAAAGGTAGCGCGAGCCCTCTCGTGAGCGCAGTGGATCTCTTTCACTTTGCATTCACGTTCGGGGTACAAAGGAATGATACAAATCCGAGAAATAAAGACCCAGTAAATGTAAATGTTTTCTATTTTGTTTTCTCCGGGCGATTCGTTTGTTGACTCACCCAGTTACCTCTAAGCCAATTTCCCTCGCTTTGTTTGTTTTATATTAAGCTTTACATCTTTTAAGTATTGAGTAAACGAGAGTATTTGCATGCAGTTTATACACTCGTTTACAAACAGCACTATAATGACTCCAAATCTGAAATACCTAATTGAAGACGATTGTTATAGATTCCAACGGGACAAGCTTAGTGACTCAAATGAACATAAAAGCGGCAGTGTCTTTGTCACATCCTCTTACGAGCTGCTACAATAAGAACACTGTGACCAAAACTGAGTCACTGTTGTGGATGGAGAATCAACCAGGATTATGCATGTCGGGCAATCAAACAAATCAAAGTATTAAAGAGAAAAATAATTCGGAATACGACAAAGTGGCCCAGCAGTTACCCGAATATGCTGAAGTAACATCTTCACGTGCGAATGCAAATGAATGGAATACAAGTAAAACTGCAACTTCTCCAGCGGCGTATGCCTCGGTTACCCTCGTTGCTAATACAAGGCAATGTGTAAGTTCATTGGTAAGTGTCCAATTATATAATGTTCACATTTTAAAAAATTTACATAAAATGATGTCATTTAATTTATGCATTTAATTTAAGCAATTAATATTAAACTAAAAAGATGTTTACCTTGAATATATTTAGATTATGGACTAACTAATACAAGTGCTAATGAGAGTGCCTTAGCTTAACGATCTTCGCAATAAATAATTGTTTTTTCTGCAGGGCTGGTTTCCACCTACTGGAAAAAATGTTGAATCCTTTGACAACCGGTATGCTCCGGAAGAAGAAATGTACCCAGCTAGTAACGGAGGGTACTATAACAGAAATGTGTATAGTGAAAAATACTTTCAAGGTCATCCGAATGTATTAAAATTTTATGATTTACCTTCATTGGACAAAACGCAAAAAGCCCAAGTAAGATATAATCAGAGTTTAGATGAAAGAAAAAGTGATAAGAACTCGAAGACTGATGTCACTCAATCCTTGATAGGTCGCACATACGGAATTAGTTCCAGGAAAAACTCTGAAACTGAATCTACCTATAGAGCGTTCGGGGAAGAGGACACAGATGAGGATAATTATCCTGAAGATGGTGGTTATGATGAATTGCAAGCTATGCAACCCCAGAGACAAAGACCACAACATCAGTATGAAAGGCCCAATTTCGATAACGATGGGACTAGAACTTTGGCCCGTCTGACCTCATTCAGACAGGGCCAAAGTCTTACCAGTAGTACAAAGCCGTCCCTTGCACCACCACATCCACCACCAGCGCCTCATCCTCGTGTGGACTCTGTGACACGGTAGTATCACGCCTTGCCGGTTTTCGGCGACCTGTGCCAAACGGACGTATAAACCGATGTTCTTTCCTACTAGGGTTATGTCGTCACCGAGAGTGATCACAGTTCTTCCTCACGTTGTACAGTGACATTTTTATTGTGTGAAAAACTATTTATCGGTTTTATTCAACAAAAAAGTGACAGTGAGTGACGATTTATAATTTATTGTGAATCGCTATGGCCTATTTTTGACAGCGCACAATAACAGACATTGATGGATATAAATGATTAATAATGTTTAAATATTCCTAGTCTTTGTAAAGAATATGTAAATTTTGTAAATAGAACTAAATTAACAACTTAGAACTGTGTTCTTAAAAATGCTATACTTTAACGAGATAAAATATCAAGTCTAATAAATGTTTACAATGTTATTATTGGAATTGGAAATTCAATTGATATGTCCGTCTGAATATCAATAAACGAATTTGTAATCCTATATCATTAGTGTAAGTGTAACAAATAATAATTCATAGAAAAAACAAATTAACGCTTGGCAATAATTTGAAATAACATATTTAACCTTATTAAATGAAGTTCATAGCATTGTAAATAAAAATAATCTAGATTTAAAAATTGTGTTTTGGTTTTATGTATTGCAAAATTAGATAAAGTTAATTTATTTGGATAAAAGATAATTATTACTTCTATTAACTATATTTAATTAGTATTATTGTTTACTTTGTTTAATGTGCCATTTATAGAAATTCATAGCTGAATTAATAAAGTAACATTCGAGTTGTGAAATGAAATTCAAAGTAAGCTTTTACAAAACTAAAGTTATAATCTACGTAAGATATTGTGATATGATTTTATATAGCCACTTGTTATAATATTAAATAGCACGACTTGTATTGCATATCAAATGTATTAGTCATGTAATAGTTAAAAATGTTATTGATTAGGACGCTTCCATATCCGACCAGAGAGAATATAAAACGTGTAATCGTCCTTCATTTTGTAAATATGTAAATTATGTCAAATGAAGTTGACTCACCTTTATACTTCAACTTACCGAGTGTTTTCTTTTTATTCTCAACTGTTAAACAAACTATTTTAGACAGAGATCACAGGGATTGTGACTTGTGACGACAAGCGACCGAACGGTAACAGTCATTAATTTAAACGAAGAAAATGTCGTAAATCCTAAAGGATGTTCTGTAAGAAATACCTTGTTCATTCAGTTTGAATTTATTCGTATGTTCTGGCCGCTTGGCCTCGTCTCAATAAGACATAATTTCATTATGTCGTTACCCTTATTAAGGTAGCTTGCCTTACCTTAACTATGTGCAGAAAAGTCATATTATCCTTAATTACACATTAGACTGCAAATCAGCTTCTGATACAGAATTGTTTGTAACGCCTACTTTTGCACGTTCGAAAGTAATTAAATTTGCAGTAGGCATTTCACATAATAATAGAATATTATTGTTTCCTATTCATACTTATTTTCATGTCCCACGAAAATAAAATATACCAAGTTTATATGTATTTAGTACATGTTGTTTTATGATTATAAACTCCAAAAATTTGTATGAACAAAATGTTTAATTATAAACATATATTGAAATTACTTTAAATCCTAAAGTCGATCTACACATCAACATAACAATACTATATTTTATTGCCACTACCCCCTTATATGTACTAAAAAGATACTATTACTACTTAACTCTGATGCCTTTTGTTATATATTCGATGATTACCGTTCTAAAATAAACTTTATTACATTATATTGTATCTGTTGTGTAGATAAACTTTATAAATTTAAGTACTCAGGAAAGACATTAAAATTTTAAAATATAGCAACATGTAACTGCTAATAATTATTTTAATAGCTTAAATTCTGCCTAACTATTATTATTGCTAAGGCCTAATGTCGACCAGAATTTATTGATCCCTCATACAGAAATACTATACAAAACCAAATAAAAACTACTTTTGAGTGCGACATACGACCATACTTGAAATAAGTTACAATACACTCTATTGTATGAACTTTGACGGATTTTAATTTTTGTATTAGTCTTTGAATATCTATTTTTAATAAAATAATTTCAATACTAATGTTTTCGTCTTTTATTCAAATAATTGAAACAAATAGTATTCTTGATTGCAGCTCCAATTGGAGACAGTTATTTTCTAACTTCATGTTCAGAAAACCACTGTAAAGCAGGGCTGTTTAACTTGTAGAATTAATTTTTGCTACAATTAAGGGCTTAATCAAGGGTGGTAGGGAAAAGCAGATACATCTCTTGGCTTTTCTTGTTGATATGGTACTAAGTAATGGTTAAGTCAAATTTTTGATGTGCACACCGACCTGGATCTACAAACCCAAAAATAACACCAAGGTCGAAAAAAAAATTCTCTCCCTCTAGGCCAATAGCTGTGTACGTACCTGATTAAGGCTCTTGGAAGTGTTTATTGCTATCGGTGATAACGATTGTAAGTTACATTGCGCAAGTGACACATAGCAATTATATAATATAATATTCTCACACATCTCACAAACGGCCATCTGATCCCAAACTTGTCAGAGCCTGTACTATGGTAACCAGACCGCTGATAAATATACTTATATATTTCTATATACATACATCATCAACAGCCTTTAACAGTCCACTGCTGGACATAGGCCTCTCCTTAGAAAGGAGGTTTTGGCCTACTATATCACGCTGGCCAGACGGGTTGGGTTTGTGTCAAGTTTTCCTTCTCTCTGCAGTGCTGGTGTCCTGCGTATTTCGCTCCCTTAGTCGCCTCTTAGGACACCCACGGGATGAATAGGGGTGGTGACACTCTGTATTCTTAATCCGTCACCACACGGACACATTATAGATAGATTACACCCAGAGATAGAACAAATGACCACGCTCATCACACAATTATTTGTCCTGGGTAGGAATCGAACCCAGGATGAGGGTCACTAACCACTAGACCAACAGACTAGTCAATGTTTCACTTATGTGGGGTATGGCAAAAGTAAGTAAGTAATTGGCGAACTGATATTAAGAAGTCGTTATTCCAGCTTCAGATTCTTGAAACGAAACTTGACCGTGGAAATGCTAACTTAATATTAGATATCTGTATATTAAGTTAGCATTTTCACGGTCAAGTCAAATTCAATATATCAGAAAGCATACTCGAATTACATTGATCTTTGTTAAAAATTCAGGCATTTATTACTCGATCTCGATGTTTAGAGTTCTGAGGAACCGATCACGAACCAGAACCAGAAACTCGGGCCGTTAGATGTTATGTTTACGATTTAGAATAAATATAGAAGTTTCTAAGTTGGAGAATTTAATTTGAATTAGGTTTAATTAATCCTAATGTGAGTTTGGTTTCGAACTGTTAAAGTTTTAACTTTGTTTCTGAAATTTACAAGTACATGGGCCCCATAAAACTACAATCCTGATAAAAATAATAATATATTGCTGATAGCTAGTAATATGTATTTATGCTTTTGATTGATTACAAGTGATTTGTTTTTAAAGTGATTTGTAAAGTTTCTAAAAGTTTGGAATTCAGTAAATGTTACTTCAGGCCTAAAATTGGCAAATAAAACCCACTGGCGGACATTTCCCGAAAATTATAAATTTTCGTTTAAATATTTATTGTTTTTAATAACCCCTAAATTGGTTGTAGGATTCACTGGGTGGATTATTACATCACTGCTGCATTGTTGGCTGCGGGCTTCAAAACAAAATCCCTTATAATATTTTCTTAAAAGATACTCATTTTAAATCTTTCTATCTTTTGGGTATTTTTACTTCCTGCATGATGAAAATAATTTGCTAAATATTGAAGGGTTAATTCTTTTGATTTTCAAAATAATTAACAAGCATGATTTATTGTGATTTAAAGAAGTTGAAACATAAATTATTATCTACCTTTATTTATTATGTATAATAATATGTATAAGGAGGGGAGAACAGCAGGTTTTTGTTCAAATTGGTGTTAAGCAACTTTTTGGCAAAGATCTCTACCCAAAAGGAGACCATTGTAAGCAACTAGTAGGCATTGTTTGTGATGATGAATAGTGTCGTTAGTTTACTTTTTAATTAATTAGCTTTTTAATTAAATAACAAGGCGCGAGTGACTGCAGAGTTGACTAGTGTTGTGAATGCTTACAATCTGGGTGGCAAACTGAAGGCCAATTCTCGTAATAGAAATTCGGTCATAAGTCAGTTCCAATCAACTTTCGATCAAACAACTGTCATAAAATGTATTTTCGTAGTAAAATAGTAAAGTGTTACTAAGACTAGCAGATTACCGATGAACCGAATTGAGAACGAATTTTTATTAAAAGAATTGGCTGATTATTCCGTAAAAAGTTAAAAGAATTTACTAAGATTTCACTAATAATTGTAAGATAGTACTCGACTTTAGCTGTATAGGCAAAATTAATTAGAAAAGAACTCTGCACAAGTTAAAAGAATAGTTGAATAGATTTACTTCTAGTTTTTATAATATTTAATAATGGTGATGCTTTTTACTAACCAAATTCCTTTAATTTTTTTTTTCTTTAATATACATTCTCTTTACGACGGACTGAGTATATAGAAAAGGAAATCTTCTTTATGGGACAGCAAAGCTTGTACAGTCAAAACTGGTAATATATTTAATCTATAATGAAAAGCAGTTGATCGCATATGAAATTGTTTTTGCTAGGGTTACATGGCAAAATGAGATTAATATTATTTAACGGGAATTAACGCGATCTCTTATTTAGGGTATTACATACCTCTGGTTTGCCTGACGTTTCGACCAGGTTGCACCGGCCGTGGTCACAGGCTGACTGGCTCATCGGCGGACGCCCTCCGTCGTCGAATCCGTGAAGTAGAAGGCTCTTCATCTACCCGCACATTTTCGATATTGTTTTTGTGTCGCCATGTACCGTCACATACCACACTAACAGTGTCCCTATTCTGTAAGCAAACCGATGAGTCCCTATTCTGGTGTTTAACC